AGAGAGAGAGAGAGAGAAATTGGAGGGGAACACAAGGGAGAGCCCCATTTCTCAGGCATGGGAGGGGCTGCTCCAGCATCCTCATCCCACAGTCTCTGCTGTCTCAGTGCAAGCACACTGGCAGAGTGGGAAAGGAGTCTGATCCCTGCTTTGGGCTGATCTTTCTCCCAACCCCGCAGGGATGCTGACCATCACAGACTTCATCTTGGTGCTGCATCGCTACTATAGGTCCCCACTGGTGAGGAGCGGGCTGGGAGGCCTGTGGGTGCCCAGATGGGCTGGGGCAGAGGGGAGTCTTCGTGGAGCCTGGTGCCTGAGGGGCCCATGTGTAACTCCTGAAGTCCTGTCTATGTCCCTAGGTCCAGATCTATGAAATTGAAGAACATAAGATCGAGACCTGGCGGGGTGAGAAGGGAAAGGGTACCAGAAAGGGGCTGAGCGGGTAAGGGTGGGCTAAGGGCCTGAGATAGAGGATGGGCAGTGGGGGCTTCTTGGATGGAACAAGGAGGGAGGAATAGGGAGCCTCTGAGTGCCTGAGGGAAGGGAAGTAATCTGGGGTGTAGGGTGAGGCAAGGTGGCCAGCTCTCTTGGCCTAACCAGCTCTGGTTTTTCTGCAGAGATCTACCTGCAAGGCTGCTTCAAGCCTCTGGTCTCCATATCTCCCAATGACAGGTAAGCACCCCCAACACACATACCTGGGCCTCTTCCTCCCACTGTCCCCTTCCCTAGTCCCACTCAGCACTGAACTTGCCTCCTCACCCCACACAACACACAGGCAAGGCAGTCTTGGTGCCTTGTCCTCCTTTTCTGGAGAATGGGATGACAGGAGTCTCTTCCCAGGCTGCCCCCAGGTTCAGTATTCCCACCTCCACAGCTTGTTTGAAGCTGTCTATGCTCTCATCAAAAACCGGATCCATCGGCTGCCTGTCCTGGACCCAGTCTCAGGCGATGTACTTCACATCCTCACACACAAGCGGCTGCTCAAGTTCCTGCACATCTTTGTGAGCCTGGGCCCCAGTGGGAAGAGGGGGGAGGTGACTAGAGGGGCTGAGAAATTGTCAACCTAAGAGTGGGGAGGGAGGAGCTAGCAGCCTTCTTGGGGCTGCTGGGCCCCTGATCTCTACTCATCCCCATCCCAACCAGGGTTCCCTGCTGCCTCGGCCCTCTTTCCTCTACCGCACTATCCAAGATTTGGGCATTGGCACATTCCGAGACTTGGCAGTGGTACTGGAGACAGCACCTGTCCTGACAGCACTGGACATCTTTGTGGACCGGCGCGTGTCTGCGCTGCCCGTGGTCAACGAATGTGGTATCTGCACCCAGGATGAGAGGCTCTGGCTGGGCTGGGGGGAGGAAGAGCTTCATGGGGAGGACATGGAGAGGTCAGGGGTCTGTGTAGCATACAGTGAGGGCCCAGGGAGAGGTGGGGGTTAGAGGGCTCTGCCTGCTCTGAAACCAGTTACTTAGCCTCTCTGTGCCTCTCTTAAAATACGTGTTTTTTCCACACCACCTAACAAAACGATGAATAGTATAGTCTAATATGCAATCTTTACTCTCATTTCTTTATTTCCTCGGAAATATATAAATTTTAACATTGATTTGCCCTAAATAGGATGCAATTGAAGTCCATATTTTGTATTCTGTCTTTTGTCCTTTAAGCCTCTTTAAATCTAGAACAGTTCTACTCCCCCCTAATTTGCATAGCTTCAGTGACTTGAAAACCCTGGGTGAGTTGTCCTATAGGATTCTCTACTTCCAGATTTCTGTTTGCTTTCTAATGTCAGCCTTGACCTTGTTCCTCCATTCCTGTGTTTCCTGTAAACTGGAAGTTAGATCTGAAGGCTTAATGAGATTCAGGCTATGCCTTGGAGGCTAGAATATTTCACAGGTGATGCAACATGTTCACAGGTGATGCCATGTTAGCACGTTGCATCTCCTCAGGAGGCATGATGTGAGGTTGTCTCATGCTCTGTGATGCTAAGTTTGATACTTGGGTTCTGGTAGTGACAGCCTGATGCCTCATTATAAAACCCACAGCCCAGGCCCACTGTACAGCACCCTGGTTCTGATCTGACCCTCTTCCCTGTCTCTCCCTGCCACCCACCACCCCCTGCAGGTCAGGTCGTGGGCCTCTACTCCCGCTTTGATGTGATTGTAAGTGTTTATGGGGAACTGGGGGTCCTGCAGGGAGGCTGAGGATATGGGGACTGGTGGGGGGGGGTATCCATAGATCAAGGGGGACCTTGACAAGTATGTAGGGGTAATATCTGTGGGGTTGGAGTGTGGACAAGGGAGTGACTAAGAGTCCTGTTTCTCTCCCTCTCCCAGCACCTGGCTGCACAGCAAACCTACAACCGCCTAGACATGAGTGTGGGAGAAGCCCTGAGACAGAGGACAGTGTGTCTGGAGGGAGTCCTTTCCTGCCAGCCCCATGACAGCCTGGGGGAAGTGATCGACAGGATTGTGCGGGAGCAGGTACCCAGGGCCTCCATGCCCCCAGAACACATGGCCCAGTCCTGCAAGGCTCCAGCCATCCCTAAATATCGGGCACCTGGCCGATTTCATGACCAACTCCCAATGTCCACACTGGTCTGGTCTGTACCTGGTGCTGTCCATCAGTCCCCATGTCAATGGCCACAGCCACCTATGGTCACAGTTGTCCCTGATTGTGTTCCTAGGAGACACTCTTCTTCTCCCCACCATGTCAGGTTATTTCCCCTGATTCTCGGTACCAGTCTCATTAGCTGCCTCTGCCCCCTCACTAAGCACTGTGGACCCACAGGTACACCGGCTGGTGCTAGTGGATGAGACTCAGCATCTCCTGGGCGTGGTCTCACTCTCCGACATCCTTCAGGCAATTGTGCTCAGCCCTGCTGGAATCGATGCCCTCAGTGCCTGAGAATGTTCTGGTCCTCACTCCCACGCCACCTCCATCCTCGGAAGCCAATGAAGCCAGTGAAGGGAGCCAGGGGCTGGCCTTCATCTTCCCCTTACCCCTTTGCTGGTTCAGGTCTGGTTCAGGTAGGTTCTGGCCTGCACTAATGTCATCGGCCCCTCAGTATTTCCAGCTCCCCAGATCTTGCATTGAAACACCCCAAGAATGGAAATGACCCAGCTCATAGTGGAGCAGTCCCAAGAAAACATGTATAAGGACTTATAAGCCATCACTTTGTCCCACTCTGATCTGAGATGACAGAAGCCCTCCTAGGAGGGGTGGACAAAGGCTGGCCTAGAGGCTAGGGTGGCAGTATGACTTCAGGCCATTTGGGAAGATTTCTCTGTTCCCTCACAATCAATTCTCACCTGTTGGGAATGCCATTAGAAGGAAGCAAGCTATACAAACCTTTGTGGAATGGTATTTCCATCCTCAGGAAGAACTAAGGTTTAAAGGAAGGAGCTTCTACCTAAGTGCTCATCTCAGTAAATTTGATAGGATCTCAGGCATGTTCCTGGTAGCATGTTTGCTAGGACCTTGAAGGATGGGACACAAGCCACCTACTTGGCATTGGATGGTAAAACTCCCCTCCTGGAAAGTCAACTTCCCCTCCATGTTTGATCACTGTCTTCCCTTCTCTTTTCCTCACAGACTTCTCCAGCCCTCCCTAACTGCCCCTGCCATGCCCATGCTCCCAGAAGCCCTTGGGTTTGCCAGTGCACTGTGTGATGACGACATTAAGGAGAACAGCCTGGAAGTCTCTATACTGGAGGCATTGGGATTACCCATGTGCCTGTGCCCACTCATACCCCTTTACCCCACCTGGGTCAAGACTGACCCCAACGGGGAAGGGAGCTCACAACCCTCAGGCTTAGTCATGGTTCCCGGTTCCTGGCTTTTGGACTCTCAGCTTCTGGACGCATAGCGCTTGAGCCACCACCTTCTGGGGAGTCCCAGCTGTTCTTGAGTTATGGGGAACCTTAGCGGTCCCTACAACTTTGCCACTGCCCTCCTGCTGTCCTGGCATTATCCTTTCGGCACTGCTGGGGTCACCATGGAGCAGCAGTTATTTGCAGAATTACCTGTTAGAGTGGGGTCCTCTTTCTATTCTTACCCAGAAAACTCTTTAGCATTCATCAGTGCATCATATCCTCAGTCCCCGGTGATGGACAGCCTTGTACCAAACAAAAAAAAAACAATCTATGAACTTGGATTTTATAGATTTTACTAAAAAAAAAAAAAAAAGAGCTATGGTCATTTAACCTGAACTTGAGCCAGGATCCCTGTGCTTTCTGGATTCAAAGACATGAAGGAAATTTGATGAAAGCTGCAAATGGCATGTCTTTTGTGCATAGAGCATTACTCTATGAAAATTTCTTTTTTTATCTTTTATTTACAGTGAAATCATAAAGAAAATATTAATTAATTCATACTTATGTAGGAGGTACAACTCTTCTGTAGGTTTGTAGAGTCTACAAACTCTAATCTGGAAGAAACATAACTATTTCTTTTGACACTGAATGGAATTTCTATTAGGAACCCCATTTTACCAGGTGACAGAATTTAATAGTGGTCACTTTGGGGTCCCTGCCTGACCTTTTTTTTTTTGAGACAGTCTCAAGCTGTCACCCTGGGTAGAGTGCCATGCATCATAACTCACAGCAACCTCCAACTCAACTCTTGGGCTCAAGTGATCCTCTTGCCTCCATTTTTTGTTTTTTGGGTTTTTTTCTATTTTTAGTAGAGACAGGGTCTCACTCTTTGCTCAGGCTGGTCTCAAACCCGTGAGCTCAAGCTATCTACCTGACTCGGCCTCCCAGAGTGCTAGGATTACAGGTGTGAGCCACTGCACCTAGCCATTCCCCCTGACCTTTCACTTGGGGTAAGCTCAGTGAGGAGGGGAGACTTTAAGTAGTATAAGACTTTGTTCCTCAGCCATCATTATCCATCCAAGCCAGCACCTGCTAAAACATCCAAGTCCCCATATGGTCATCAGCTGGTTGTGCTCCTTCTTTCCCAGAAAGCCTCTTCAGGCCTGCCTGTGCTTGGGACATGCAGCACATTCCAGCTCCTAGCCCTGCACCTTTCTGGGCTTCAGGAGGTTGTTACAGTGGCCTGTTCTACCCTGAAGCTTGCTGTTTTCCTAAGCTCTATCCAGGAAACATGGGGCCCAGGGTGCTTCTATAACCTCCAAACCTATATTTTTGTCATATTCCCCCTCTCTTCAGACTCAGTCTCCTCTAGTTCATTTTCTCAAGGGCCCCAGAAATGCCTATAGTCTCTGTCACCAAACCCTCACCAGCCTATGGAATGTTTGCCAGGAGGAAAAAGAGGGGGCCTTTATTCTCTAATCCAGTGGTTCTCAACCTGTGGGTCGCGATCCCTTTGGGAGTTAAACGACCCTTTCACAGGGGTCACCTAAATACATCTTGCATATCAGATGCTTACACTACAACTCATAATAGTAGCAAAATTACAGTTATGAAGTAGCAATGAAAATAATTTTGTGATTGGGGGTCACCACAACATGAGGAACTGTATTAAAGGGTCACGGCATTAGGAAGGTTGAGAACCACTGCCCCATCATACACTCTTCCAAACTCACTGTATATGTCTTGGGTTCTTGCCACCTACCCTGATGATGAGGCTTTTGAAATTCTAAAACCAACATTCACTTCTACTGGCTCATTCTTTTCTGTGGCAATGAGCTTGGCGAGTCTAGCTGTGTGGAAGGGAAAAGGAGATCTCTAAAATGTGACCCCATACCTTTACTCCACAGAGACTTTTGTACTTGATGGGTCCCAGGCGTCCTCAAAGCATGGCCCACAGGCCACATGCAGCCTGCCTAGGACATTTATCTGGCCCGCTGGGTGTTGTTGCCGCTGCTGCCTGTCCTGCTTAGCAGCTGACTTGTCCCGGGGCCTGCAGTCCGGCCCTCCAATGGTCTGAGGGACAGTGAACTGGCCCCCTGTTTAAAAAGTTTGAGGACCCCTGGGTCAGGCAGTAAATGAAGGTATTTTCTCACTAGATATTTTACCAAAACTGGAGGGTCAGTGTTTCTGCTCTGGCCCTACCCAGGAAGGTCCATGTCTTGGGCCCAAGAGAGAAGATGGGAGGGGGGTGATCATGGGTTCTAGGGAGAATCTCTTTTAGTGACAGTCCCCTTGGGGAGCCTGGGGAAGGTGATTCTGGCCACAGCCAGTTCTGGACAAGTGTAACAGATCAGACCTTTGAGGCTGTGCCTCTGGGTGGTTCTGCGTGAGAAAGACCTTCAGCAGTAGCAGCAAAGGCTCAGAGCCAGCAGCCTGAGAAAGGTACTCTTATTTCCCTTGGGTCATCCTGAGAACAGGTATGTCCCTACCCCTCTGGGCACCATCCCGAGGACCTGGCAGCTCTCCCCCTTGGGTTCTTCTGTGAGAAGCCATCCCACCTTCACTGCCTCAGATTCTCCTCTGGTCATAGCTTGGCCCTCAGCCCCGGGCCCAGCCCTTTCACCATCATGGTGGCTGGACAAGGGGCACAGAACTGCCATAGGGGCAGTGACTGCCTCCACTCTAGCTCAGAATACTAGAAAGGCCCTGTGTACGCCTGTCCTGCTGTCCCCCTTTCTGACTTTGCCCCT